CATGTGTACTTGCTGAAGAGACAGAGAGACAGAAAGTGAGAAATTACCACCAGGGGGGATGGCCATGCTGCAATCCCTTCTCCTCCATACTCCTCTAGGGATCTTGGGCATGCACACACATGTGCCTGGCCTGAGTTTCAAGTCGCTGGGTCCAGGACTTGAACCACGGTTGACTACATGGGAGTCCAGCGACATAACCATTACACCATTGGCTGGTCCCTATTTTTTTCTAGTTTTCTAGGTATCATCTTTCCTAAATAGTAATTTCTCTTCTAAGGTGGTTTGTCTCTATTTCATTTTTTATTTTAATGTAAGCTTATCTTAAGAGCCCCCGCTCTTCACTCCAAGTACCTGGTTGTCTGAAGTAGAAGAGTTTCTAAGCCTAAAGGACTTCTATTATCCTAAACCAATTTTTTTTATGTTAAAGACTTAATTTTATTATTGTTATTTGAAAAAATTTGCCATAGCACATGTGTGTTCATGAGAGAGAGGGAATGAGAAAGCAAGCTGCCAGGTCCAGGACTCGAACTACAGTCAGCTATGTGGGAGTCCAGTACCTTCACCACCACAGCACCTCTGGCCCCATGCCAGACCAATTTTTGTGCTAATTTCTTCATTGGGTGTTTCTGATACAAGACAGAGTGTACGAATTTGTACCTACTCTCCTGTGTGACGCACAGCTAGGGTTTTTTTTTTTTTTTTGTTTGTTTGTTTGTTTGTTTGTTTGTTTGGAGAGATTTTCACTGTAGGGCGCGTGCGCTCGCCAGACAGACAGAGAGAGACATAGAGACAGAAAGCGAGAAATCACCCCCCAGGGGGGATGGTCACGCCGCAATCCCTTCTCCTCCATTCTCCTCTCGGGATCTTGGGCACGCACGCACACGCGCCCGGCGTGAGTTTTAAGCCACCGGGTCCGGGACACGAACCGCGGTCGACTACATGGGAGTCCAGCGACATAGCCATTACGCTAACTGCTGGTTCCCACAGCGAGGGGTTTGATATCTTGCAATCTATTCCACCCCATACCTTCTCTCTCCATCCAAGAGCCTGGAGAGAAAGTGGGATCCTGGCCCAGTGGGTGCAGTTTTACAGCCCTTTATTTAGATAGGCAGGGCCTACAAGCCCAGGTGTTTTTGCGGGGGCTGATTGAGTTCCCTGACCTCCATGGGCAAGGCCGTGTCTCCATACATTGCACGGGTGCACAGTCCAGCCCTCAGCCCCTCAGCTGTCAGGATCTGAAACCCCGGACCACTCCACTGTGGGCTCCCCCTCATTTCAGCATCTGCCACCTCTCACTCCTTCTCAGTCCTTGGCTGTGGACTAAAAGCCATTTTTGCTCCTTGGTTCCTGGTGGGGCTTCCATGTCAGCTGAGTTCACCACGTACTGGTGACGCATTTTAAGCATCTTGGAAGAACCAGGTCATATAAATGGTGTTTTCTGCAGAGACCAGCACAGTGGAGGGTGCAGGGTAGGACTCGCTAGAGAGCAAATAACCAGATGAGTGGAATCAACAGAACCTGGCGGGGACAGGTACTGAGTGAGCACGGGAGACGCAGCGCACACAGCAGCAGGTGCCCAGAGCCCCTCTGTCTGACACTCCATGTCACAGTGGCCCAGGCCTCGTGCTGTCCTATGCAGTCCCCGGGACAACGTGATTTCACCAGCGACTCACCTAACAGCTGCCTGTTCCCCTAGCTCTATCTCATCATCTGCTTTCTCTTTTCCCTCCTAAAAGAGTGAGCTGAAAATGAGTGTGGCTGGATGTAACCCAATTCACCGAGCAAAAGTTTCATCCTGGGATCGTAGATGGTAATCTAAGGCAAGACGCTGCATCAGGGATGACCCCATCACAGCCCTTTTCCTGCTTCTGCAGGGCCAGCCTCTGTGGCCCCTGCCATGAGCACTGACCGTGGGTCCAAAGCCCCAGAGTGATGAGACAACTGGAAGCCACATTTCTGGACCTTGTACAAACGGGGACAACACGGTCCCGACCAGTCACTGGACTGAGCACTCTGCTACCCACGGGGTTGCAGACTGCCTGCTCAGCTCCCTGGTCAGGAAGTTGAGCGATTGCCTCTTGGCTACCTGAGCAGGACGTTCTGGCTTTCCAACCCCACCCCCTCCAGTCTCCATCCCCACAGTGAACCCCTGGAGCATAGGCTAAAGGCAGAGGAAGCTAGCCAGCCTCGTTGGGACCTGGGGAAGGAGTGGCAATGGCGACCTCAGCGTGGATTTCTAAGTGGGGCAGCTCCCTCATTCCCTTTCAGTCACCTGCATTGCAGGGACCTCCTCCTCCCGGGAACACTCTGCGGGTACAGTTGCCATGGTGGCAGTGCTCCGATGACTCTGGCCCCCAGACTGACATAGTGGGCAGGTGGGGGTGGGGACACAGGACTCCTTCAGTGATGTTCCTGTACCAGAGGGACTTGTGAGGCTGAACCCAGCAAGGCCTGCTCCCCAGTTAAAGGATCTTCTTGAGGGTTCATATAACTCAGAGATACTCTGGGGAAGGAAGGAGCTGACTTCAACATCCTTCAATTTAAAAAAATTATTTATTTCTCTCTTCCTTGAGCAAGAGAGACATGGGAGAGAGAGAGGGACAGAGAGACAGCACCCCCAATAGGATCTCAATGCTGTGATCCACCCTTAGCCTCAGCCAGCCCTGGATTCCGGGTGCACACCAGACCAGTGCACTCAGGGGGTCTCTGGACGCGAACCAGGAACGCTCCCAGGCAGGAGAGCCTTGTACGGCATCACATTTAACCGCTGCACCACCATCCCACCCCAATGTTGGAAATGGTTGCTCCACTTTCTTCAGAAATATTCAGGAAGACTAGCAGAAAGTGCAGGTGACACACTAGAGCAGCATTGGAATTGACATCGTAATGTCACAGGGGACATGGTGCCACCAGACAGAGCGCCGGGCCTGTGAGGGCAATGCCTGGGGCCACGTTTGCTGGGCGCAGACCTTCTACAGCGTGTGCAGTTTCCTGGGCTCTGGGAGGACCCGGCCTTTCAATGCTTATAAGGTCAGGCCCTCAGGGCTCCTCCGCTCCGCGGACTCTGCCTGCCTCTGAAGTTTCTCAGGGTCTAATGAAGTCAAGATCAAACTGGTCGTGCCAAGAAGCAACGGGATGAAGTCCCCCCAGCCCTGCAGGAAAAGCAGTCTGCAGGGTGTGATGAGTCATAGCCAGCCCTTGCGTGTGGTGGCGCTTCTTACATGTTAAAGGCCTTTCATCCCCATCTAACGTCGCATTTGATTTTCACAATAGGCATCATTTTAATGGGTGCTGCTAGAGACAGGGTGAGGAAATGACTTGGGAGAAACAAGTAGGAAGTTGAAGACAGGAAAAATTGTTTGATGTAGAACATGCCAGCCCACATGCATGTTTGGGGCTTCATGGAGTACGCACGCCCCTAAGCATACTGCCTTAGAAGTCAGCGGCCGGCAATGACAACATTTGCATGCAGGGACTCCACTTCGGCTGGAGAAACAGATACGAGAGGGGGCAAAACACAGTCCTTATGGACGTAAGAGGCCCCATGCGAGTCTGAGACCCTGGGAAGAAGGTAAAGGGGGTTCTGTGAGGCATTAGGTCCTGACGCTGTGTCCCAGCCACAGGGTCGATCAGAACAGGAGGTGGTGCCCTGCGGCTGGGGGAGGGGAGACAGTACTTTGGAATTGCAGCAGGACCGAGTCAGGGGATGAGCGAGATGCAGGAGTGATAGACCGTGGCTCTTGAGCCGTCTGGCCTGAATGATGTCTTTAAATAGTTGGGACTCCAGTGCCTTCGCTAGTGCACGGGTGTTGAGGTTCACCTCAGTGCAGTTCATCACTGGGAGCACAGGGCCAGTGGGGCATCGGGGATGACGGCGGGCTTGGCATGGCCAGCTGGGTGCCAGGTGGTGCCGGGACAGCCTGCAGGAGGGCAGGTCCCATGTGACAGCCGATGGAGCCCCAGTTCACCTTTGGGAATGCTGAGCGTGGTGGGAGGTCCTACAAAACGTCTGGAAGGAGAAAGGCCCACAAAGATAAGCCCAGGAGAAACGTCCAGGCCGGAGATCACCTGGGGGCATCACCAGCAAGTAGACGAAGCCACGGGAATGGCGGGAATGGCGACCACCTCCCAGGGAGGGGAGAGCGTGTGAGAAGAAAAGATGTTTGGAGATCAGGCCCTGGGGGCATCAGGAGTTCGAGCAAGGAAGAGAGGCCCACAAGAGCTTTGGAAGGGGCAAGGGTCCAGGGCACAGCCAGGAGAGCCCAGATCCAGAAAGAAGGGAGAGTTCTGGAAAGGAGGAACGGCGCGAGCACCCCGGCCGCCCTCCTCACCCGTCTATGGTGCTGAGCGTACGGCATGCCGTCACAGCCCTGGCTCTCTCTCTTATTTTCATTTTTTAAAATTTGCCATAGGCCATGTGTGCCACCAGAGAGAGAGAGAGAGAAGAGGGAAAGTGAGGAAGCACTCCCCGGGGGGGTGACCATACCACAGTTCTTTCTCCTTCATTCTCTTCTCAGGATTTTGGGCACACACATGCATGACCTGGCATGTTTTCCAAGAGACAAGATCTGGGACTCAAACTTCTCAGCCAGCCATGTGGGATCCAGCTGCCTTAACCACCATGCCAGCTGGTTTTTAACACAGGATCTTGCTGTCCCACTACGCTGGCACACTATGGTGCCAGGCCAACCTCGAGCTTCTAATTCTCTTGCCTCAGCTTCCTGAGTCCCTGGGGTTGTAGGTGTGAGCCATTGCTCCAGGCCCATCGGGCCAGGGCGGCCAGGAATTGAACCCAGGCCCCCATGTGGTCCCGGCCTGCAGAGCACAGCATCTTAGCAGTACGAGCAGCCGCGCCTGGGCTCTAGATCCATGTTCTGCTTTTAATACGGATACTCATGTGACAGCTCATCTGAGAAAGTGTGCAAACCCGCTGCCACAGTTTGGAGCGACTCCACCACCCTCATGCAGCTCCGTCAGTCAGGGCCCAGGCACGGGCTTACCTCGCACTCTCAAAGGTGGCAGATGCTGTTTTCTCTACAGCCCCAAATCCAACTCCAACAGCAAGGCCCTCTGAAATAGACAGAAACGCACCAGGGGTTAGGAGTCATTCCCCAGTAAGGATCATCGCCGTCACTGGGTCAGGGAAGGTCGCACTGGGCTGCCTTAACAACAATCGCCATGGAGCCTCAGCCCCGAGGGGAAACTACGTCTGCGATATTGTAACACCCGCGTTCTCCCGTGTCTCCTGGCATCAACCCCTAGAAATCCTCAGCATCGTGTCCTTGTATACAGATGAGAGGGCTGGTTGTGGGCAGCTCCTGGGAGCTTTAGGGCAGGGCACTGGTCACCACAAAGCCCAAGTCAGCAACAGAGTGTGGGACTCTCAACCTCGCCCCTCAACCTCCAAGGAGGGGAGGGCGGCTGAAGGTTAAGCTCATCGCCCACAGCCAGTGATTTAATTAATTACATCTATATAAGGAAGGATTAATTAAGAAAGAAAGAAGACAGGGTTTGAAGTGCTCCCAGATAGCAGAATGCATTGAGCTTCCTGGAGGTGGCGTCCCCAGAGCAGGCATGGATGCGAGGTGCCCCTTCTTCTATATGCCTTGCCCTGGACCTCTCTGTACCCTTGTAACAACCTCTATACAAACTAGTCACCAACAGTAAGTGCTTCCCCGAGGTCCGAGCCGCTGTGTAAATTAATTCAACCTGAGGAAGGGGCTGCTGGAACCCCAGTTTATAGCCAGGGAGTCAAAAGCACAGCTTTGACAACCTGGGGCTTGCAAGTGGCATGGGGAATGGGGGAGGGGCAGTCTCGGCATGTTTCGACCCCTGACCAGTCCATGGATCTGAAATGCGGTCGCCACGTGAGGCCCAGCTTCCCTTGAACAGTGCACACTGCTGGGCCCGGAGCCGGTTCTGTTCACTCACTTTTTATTTTAAGGCACCTGGAGACAGTTCTTAAGGAAGGCAGTACACCGGCAGGCCTCGCTTATCACCCCTCCTCCAAGATGACTCCAGGTTCCAAATTAGGACTTGTATTCAAAATCCTGGCCTCTCTGAGGGTCTCTCCCTGGGAAACGGGGAGCTGGCGGGCCTTTCTTGGCCAGGCACGGGACTGTGGGTCTTGTCCACGAGTAACAAGTGGGAGCTGTCACCTCGTCTACGGCTCAGGGAGGAAAGGTGAAGAGAGCCCAAGTCCAGAATCTCTGTTCTCCTTCTCTCCAAGGCAGAGGTTTAAGGACTCCTGAGGCATCTGGCAAGCCTCGGGAAGGAGAGTGTGGAAGGCAAGGACAAGCGTCCACGTGAGGTGCCAGTGTTGGCGAGAGCCGAATTCCAGGACAGGACAGGCCGACAGATAGATCCCTGGGTTCAGACGGCAGGGAGGAGGCTGGCCGTGCACCGCTCAGTTGCTGCCACTTGGCCTGTCTCCTACTTCACGAGCCCAGAGTTTCCAAACCTGCCATTCTCAGTCTTTTTCGTACCACAGCCCCACCCATAATAGCAAGTCTCCAAGGCAAAGATTAAAGGCAGGGTCCTGACCCACCGGGAAGAGGTGTCAAAGGCTGGAGAGGGACGGAATGGATCTCCTGACCCCAGATGGGCTTTTCTTTCCCTTTGAAAACATTCACTTTCTTAAACTATAAACATCTGGTGGGCTCTTTTGCTAAAAAACATTTTGCTAATTAGTCTTTTTATGCAAATGATAGAGTAGCCCACAGCAAAAGGACCAACGTTAATTGTGAACTAACCCCTGCAATTGTCCAGGGGCAGCCCAAGTGCCTTGACTCACATAAATGCTCACACCAGCTCTGGGAGCTTGGGGAGGGAGTGCCCAGGGACCGATGAGGACCTGTGCTTGCCTGGAGGGACACGCCTCAGTCCTCCATTCTATTCCTTCTCTCACGTGGCCTCTGCCACCCCATGCTGCTGACCTGGGTACCCTGAAGAGGTAAAGGGCAAAACTAGTGCCCACCCTGGTTTGCCAAGGGACCCGCTCACAAACAAATGTTCTGTGCTTGCTTGCAAACCAGCCTTCCTCTATGCTCCAGTGGTCCTGGGGAAGAGAACCGTGAGCCCCTGTTCCCAAAATGCACACTACACGACAGAGGGGGCAAACCCTGTTTTCTCCTGGATTTAGAAAGGGAGAAGAGGAAGAGGAGGTAAGGCGACAAAGGCAGGGATGAGCCTGAGCGTTCAACCGATGAGAAGCCAAGACACGCACGCGCGGGAAGAGCATAAAGAAGAGGATAAGGCAGACGCCGAGGATCAGCAGATGGTGGAGAGAACCCGCTGGGTGGAAGGGAACGAGAGAGCTGCCAGCGAGAGCCCACACCCCAGGTGTTCCACCAAAAGTACAAATGAGGACGGTAATTAAGACAAGAAACCAAAAGTGACTGGAATATCATTAGTAGCTGTTGCCCCTTTCACAGCTGTTGCCATAACTCAGGTGCAAAGAGAGGAAAAATAAGCTGCCAGCCCTGGATTGGCAAGTCCGGCTTAACACAGAGGGCCCGGGCCTTGAGGGTAAACTTGAAAATAAGCACTGGAACGGAAGCAGCGCCTCCCGCCTGTCCTGGGGCTGGGAGGGGGCGTGTCTACCTCTGCCCATCTCCCCATTGCTCCTGCGTCTCCATCTCGCTGGGGCCTCCACGTGGGGAAGAATAACATGGGCTTCCGTTGAGGCAGACGTGGGCTCAAATCCTGGCATATTACATGAGGTTCTTGTTAAAGCAAAGGAAAGAGAACGCTGCTTTGCTTAGAGAATGGAGGCAGTAAATGAGACGGGTCTGATGTTCCGAGAAGACATTCTCACCGATGACCTTTCATCGTGGGGGCCTGTCCTGGGCACTAGTGATCAGCAGCTTCCCTGGCCTTTACCTGCTAAAGGCCACTAACATCCTCCGCCCTAGTGTGCCATTTAAGGATGTCTCCAGAAATTGCCAAATGTCCCCTGGAGGGAAGGAGGGGAGAGACAGCATGCAGGCTTCAGAACTGCTGGCCAAGAACAGGTAGATGTCCCACCAATGTTGATTTCCCTCTCTTCTTCCCAGCGAAGGCACCTACGATAAACATGTTTGAACTCTTCTAGAACATTCTTAGAGTTGAAGTAGGTGAAGGAAAGTCAGCAATTAAAAACAAATATTGTCTCTTTCGATCGAGGGTTAACCAGCTCTTACATTTAAGGGCATGGGGTGAATTTACAGGTTTTCTTACCAGTCTCCAAAAGACTAAGGTCTATGCGATTAACTCTGCCTAATGTCTTAGTCTGTCTGGACGACTGTATAACAAATGAACATCAACTGGGTGCATTATAAACAATGGAAATTTATTTCTTACAGTTCTGGAAGCTGGGAAAAGGTGCTAGCAGATCCTGTGTCTGGTGAGGATGGCTTCCTGGCTCATGAATAGGGTCTTCACATGGAAAGGATAAGAGGGTCTCTCTCAGGCTCCGTTTATGAGGGCACTAGTACCGAAGCCCTCCTTCCTAAGACCGTCATGTTGGGCTTTAGGATTTCTGCATATAAGCTTTGGACGGAAATGAGCATTCAGACCAAGCACCTGACACGCAGGGGGTCAGCCTCGGGTGGGAAGGAATGTCCCTACAGGGCAGACTGAGACAGGCAGCAATCTGGGTTCAGCTGTAACCCTGCTGCTGCAGAGGCAGCTCCCTGAGGGATGTCGTGGGGACATCCTCCTCCCGCCACCTGGCTGTGCTCCTTGGGATATGGGCCCAGCTGTCAAACTGCCTCAGCCTGAGTAGGACTTCTGAAACGAACACGGTTGTCCCCATGGCTTAAGACGGAGGCTCTGTTTCCCCTGTTCTGGACTGTTGCTCTTGGCAGCTCTAGGATGCACTCCCCTTGGGTGGCCTTCCTCCCAGGACTCCTCTGGGCTCAGGGGTAACCAGAGGCTCAGCCTTTCCCTGCCCTCCCTCCTGTGCCTGAGGACTTCTAAAACGAACACGGTTGTCCCCATGGCTGAAGATGGGGGCTCTCGTTTCCCCTGTTCTGGACTGTTGCTCTTGGCAGCTCTAGGATGCACTCCCCTTGGGTGGCCTTCCTCCCAGGACTCCTCTGGGCTCAGGGGTAACCAGAGGCTCAGCCTTTCCCTGCCCTCCCTCCTGTGCCTGCCCGCCAGGCAATTAGACGGGTGCCCTAAACCGCCCTGCTGTAGGCCACTCGTTCTTCAGTGGGGTCTCCAGCTTAAGTCTCATGGCATCAGTTTTAGATGTTATAGCCAAAAGCAGTCTGGAAAATGTCAACGCAAAGGCCAGGCTGAAAATGAGAGGTGATGCTATTGTTTTTTCTCTTTTAAAAGACATTAAAATTAAGATAGCAACTAACATCCTCTGGGGGGTTAATAAATATTCAATACGGCCACCTCCACCACGGCCAAATCCCAAGGGTGGAGAAATGACTTGAATAGAATGGCCTTCTCGTTTCCATCTCCTCTGAGGACAGAGTAAGAGAAAAATGACTTAAATTGCAGCCACAGGGATTCAGGCAAAACAAAGAATTACATGAGAGAGGAGGGCCTTGAGACAGATGGGGAAATCATGGAAGGACGAGAGAGTAACCCTTCTCTGTGGGGGGAGTGGGCTTCGAAGGGATGATCGTCACGGGGAGAGGACGCTGACTGAGCAGGATGGAAGGGGGTGGCCTCTGGCTGCCCCTGCTAGCCAGAGGACACTTCACCATCCAGTATTGGCTCAATTCTAGGAGCACGACCGAGCATCCACCTCTGTGCTTCCAAGTCCCAGTAAGTCACCGCCTAAAACACAGAAAAATAACCATGTTGGAGCATCTGTCACTGGGGGTGACTCCGGGAGCCCTGAGGATGGAACACACCCACTCCCAGCTGCTCAGGAGCCTCCAAGGACTGGGTGAGCTCAGCTTTGACTCCTCTGTCCTGGCCCGTCGAGAACCATCATGAAGCTGGGGCAGGGGCACCGTGCTGGGAGGGGACATCACATAATGTTATCCAGGGCTCTTCTGGTCATAAAATCTTGTTAGTCTCTCGGGAGAGCCGACATGTGGGCAGGGCTGTCATTCTCAGTCTGATCCCTG